GCATCTCCTCGCTTAAACTACGACTTTTTGACTGTTTACATAAAATATTAACAGAATCGGCTGAGAATCACTATTGCAAAAAATCAGTACAATTTAGCTTTGCTTTTTCTAAACTAATTTGCTTATTTCAAATTATTTTCTTATATTGCTATAACCAAATCTCCTTAGCTTATCTTCCACCTCTGATCTTTTTGTTTTTTTTCTTGAGCATTAACCCAGCTTAGCATTGCTTATCTCATTACTGAGTCCAGCTTAGCACTACTTATCCGTGTACCAAATGCTAGCTTTCTATGAAGAGAAGATTATCTTACGGACCAAATTTATTCTTCATATCCCAACTGCTATATGGAAGATTATTTTTCTTTTAGTGAATTTTATTTTTCAAAATGAAATTATTTCATCATTTCAGGTTAGCATCATCGTCAACAATAAGTGGAGAACCAGAAAATGTTTCAGCATCTACCATAAATAGATTTGGAACAGAAAAACCAATGTGTATGGTTGATACATTACCAGCGTTGGCTGAAGTTAAAGAAGAAGGTTTGTAATTTTTAAGAAAAAATAGAATTCTTCAAAATAACAAGCTACATTACGCATATTCCCTATAAGTTTATCGAGCAATGAAGAGATTTTTTTAGGTAATTAGGGGAATTTAATAGTAATATCTGTATTTCAAAAATATGTTTTTTTTTTTGCAATTATAAAAATAATGTGATTCTTTCTGTAGCTGAAGACGAATTTCTGCATCGATTAATTTGTCCTGAAAGAGAAGATACGCAGTTTAAACTTACACCAGCATACGTAGTATATGTGGTTGCACGTCATCGACTATTGTTTCCTTCGCAAACAGTTCCTATTTCTGATAGCCGCACGCGACTACAACTATTTTTGACAAAAGCTGCTAATCGTTTTCTTCTTATTTCGAAGGTTTCTAAATTAGTTCCATTTAATCAAATTGATGTGGAATTGAAAACTAAGCTATCGCCAAAATATTGAATTACCGACGGATGAGAGCAGTTTACAAAATATTTCATTAAATTTGAAACTGAGTATAAAAGTATTAGAATGAATGAAATGAATTCGAATCCTATTTTTAAATCGGCTGACAATATATTGCCACAGTGTTTGGATAGTTTTCTTGAGAAAAAAGCAAATGTTTTACCACTATTCGATTGACTATTATTGTTCTCGGTCTCAAATCACTTTGTTGGAGGGGTTTTTGTAATGAAATTCCAGAAGATTTTAATGATTTTATGCTATAGTAAAATACATATAATGCTTGAGAAGTTTAGATGTGGTGAGCTTTTCTTTCGAATTCTACAGTTTCAAAACTTAATATTGCAGCAACGACGATCGCGAGAGTCTCTGGGATTCTGGCTGGCAAATTCAAGTGAATTATTGAATTTCTTCAAACAAGATATTGACTTATCATTATTGTCACGTGGTATGCCTCAGCAGATTTTAGCTGATTGTGTTGAAAAGACATTTGAAATGCTGGGAACAGCATTAAAAAGTAGTTTGGACAGCGCCTTAAATTCAATTAGGGACGCATTCCTGGATGATCGATCTGCTTCACGTATGTATTCGTTTTTTGTAAGAAGACAGAAATTTTCAGATTTTGTAGAGATGAAATCTAAGTTCTTAGTAAGAGTATCAGGAAGATAATCTGTGTTATAACTATATATGTATATCTTTTTTTCAATTTTTTAAAACCTATTTAATTGAAATAGGTTAAGATAGACTGCTAAATTCGTTGTTGAAAGTAAAAGTTCAAAGTTCGAAGTGAATCATGATTCTCTGACAGGCAAACAGCAATATATTACTTGCATATTGCCTGGGCAACTTATTTAACCTATTCTATTTCCATGCTCTTCATATAATCTCAGACCTTTTGGAAAGAATTTGGTTGAATAAAGTAAGAGTAATGCTTTATCAATTAAATGGATTGCTGATTTTTCTTAATATTTTTGAAAATAATTTTTCAAAAATTTTGCAAAAAATTTCTAAATTAAAATTGTATTTCAGATGATATGGTTGCAAGATTGGAGGAAATTATGTGTCTGTTACGTCATTGTCGACTGAATGCAGCATTAACAATTCAGTTGTTCTCGCAATTATTTTATTACATTAATGTGGTACTTTTCAACTGGCTTGTATCTTCATCTGGCATACCTTACTGCAGCAGAGCCTTCGGTGTTCGGTATGTTTGAGCTGCAACTGTTCTGACTAAAGTTCATTTTCCGATTAAAACTTCACTGATTCACTAAAGATACTGTGCAGTTAGGTAAATACATGGCTACAATCAATATCGAAATAATTAATGCAGTATTTGCAATGCGTTAAAAAACATACTGCTCTAAACAGTTAAAAAATTTCTCTCTCAACAGTTAAAAATCTGTCTTGCAGCGGAACTAAATCTTGCTTTTTCAGTAACTTTTTTTGCAGTCATAACTATTTGCTACAAGTTATCACTTTAATATAAGCAGATTCTTTAACATGAAATTAGTTTCAACTATTCTAGGTTGCGAAACCGTCTTGGTTACGTAAATGAATGGGCCTATCAGCAAGGACTGGAGTTGGCAGCTGAATGTCACATGGATCGTATCAATCAAGCAATAATTCTTCTTGTAACACCGAAAACTGTTGATCAGATTAGTAATTTAGGTGCCACGTGTTACAAATTGAATAGTGTGCAGGTGCTAACTTTTAGATTTTGACTTTTATCTCAGAATATTTTATTTTCCTCTGAGAAGAAATCAATAATTCTTCCATTCCCAGGATTCGATTGCTAAAACATGCTGTGAGAGACAAAGAAGTGTTTGCAGACTTGTAGCTATTACATAATTGCGACCATGTTTCCAACACTTTTGATAGAACAATTTATCAAATTCCTATCGATAGTTTCGAGATTTCAAAATTTGTCAATCAGAACGATAATCTATCAGAGATGTCGATGCAAACCGTATATTTAATGGCATTTAGAAGTCAGCATAACTGGATAATGTACTTCTTTTTAAGGTACGTTGGTTCCTTGAGCATATAGTATTAGATGTTGGTGAAGAGCCAATCGTGAAGGAGCTAGTTGAAAGTGTTGTACGACTTGCGGAAATACACGCAGATGTGATGACAACTCAAGATGAAACATCCATACAACTTGAGGAAGAGCCACAACTACAACTGCCGTTCCTTCTTCCTCAGGATGGCTATTCTCCAGGTTTGTTTTCATTTTGTATCCGTCATCTTTATTTAAAATGAGTTATTTATCTAGTTCAATGTCTTACTCAGATTTTATCTCCGAAATGCACTCTGCACATCCTCTCAAACACATATCTTTCACCTTCTGTTTTAAGGAGGACTGTAATCAAGAGAATAAAGATGCATAACAACTTTCTTGTGTCTTTGTTATTTTCCAAGGAAGCATCCTACATATTTGTCAAAATCTTTATTTGTTTTTTATGATTTAAATGTTGCTAAATAATTCAGAACTAATAAATCGATAATTTGTGTCTTTCATTATATCACAATTTACAGATGGTTAGAAAAATGTATAAAAAAAAATCATTTTCAGATCTCATCCGTGGACTTTCTCCTGCTTTTGCTGAAGTAATTAGTGGTTTGCAAGCTCAAGGTACTGAGTTGTCCAAGATTTCTTTTTCAGATTTAGCGAAGGTTTTTGGTGTTCCCAAATATTTATTTTAAGATAAAAGATTTGATTTTTAAAAGATTTGATTTCTCAATTTCCGCATGAAGAATTGATATTGTTATAAAAAATCATTTAGGATATGATAAACTTTTTCAGGTTTATGTCGTTTCTTTCCACAAAACCATTCCTCAGGCAGTTGGACAGTTTACTTGAAAGCTGGATCTGCTACCGAAGAATCTGCGAACACCCCTTTAGAAAGGCTGAAGGTATATATTGGCTCTTTGGAGAGAATTACTTTAATTTACATTAGGGATAACAAACTAATAATTACACAGTTGGTTTTTTTTTTCTTTTTTCATCATTCACACAACGGAACATACGGCTTTCCTATCGTTCTGGATCTCGATGCCATTTCTATTTACATTTCTCGTGCTTTTATTTTCTTGTGCCCACGTATCGCTGATAATAATATATTACAGCATAATTTCTGAATGTGCTAGTGCTATAAAAATTTATCACTTTCTGGCAATTTATATTTCTCAGTGTGTCTTTTGATTAATTTCACTCTTTTCTGATAATGAAATAATCGAAGTTTGGATAATTGAACTTTTTTTTCAATCGTTATTTTATGGACAAGCGCGGGAAATGACAAAGCACTATAACAAAAAAAGTAACTAATTGAAAGGGATTATGAAAATAAAAGTCGTTGGTTAAAATGACCATAAAAGAAATTTCTGAAAATAAAAGTCGTTGGTTAAATTGAGCATAAAAGAAATTTCAACTATTGAAAATATTGCCAGCTGTTGGTTCAGTGTTATTAGAAACGTTAAATTAAATATAGCCACATTTGAGGTAGAAAAACATTAAATTAGATATAGCTACATTGAACAGATGAAGGAGTAAATGATAGATAAACTTTAGATAGGTGAGTTTTGGATATAAGCATATTAGACTGAAAAAAGGTTTCTAGAAAATAGTAAAGCTTTAGTGATGTTATTCGATGATTTTAATAAACAGTGTTAAGTATGCCAGGCTATGAATGTTAGTTATCATCACTTAGAATATATCTATTTTATAGGATGTAAAAATGTTCATATAATGAAATCAGAAAGAATTCTCGCATACTTATGATGGTTATTTGTTCCATTTATCGGAAATAACCTCATTTCCACTGTTCTACAGAATGTTTTTATTTTATTTTTTTTTACTACATTTTCTGAAGCTCTTTTGTAAATTTGTTGGACTACGAGGAAGTTTTAATCAAAAGAACTAATTATGTGAATGGGCGTATGTGTTTATGTGCATATGTATGTAAATGTGCTTCTGTATGGGTGTGGGTCTTTCAGATTTTCATAATTTATTTCCACAGTACCCAAATTATTACGCCATTCAAAAAGATGAAAAATGAGATATTTATTTGAATAATAATTATGTCTCGGTAGATATTTTGGCAAGCGTTTTTTCAAGATAAAGCTAAAATCTTTCGTAAATAAAATTTCGTATATTCATATTATGTTATATCTGCTTCGAGTTACTTTTTGATTTCGAAGGAAGCACTCAAATTTCATGCGAGAACTTCTGCCTCACATCTTTGTCAAAATTGTCGGATTAACCTTCTTAATAGCGAGGATAATTTTGTAGCCTTTATTATTGTGTGATGATTAACCTATATAGTTTTTCCTTTTGAAGGACAGTTTTTCCATAAAAGGTATCTTTAAGATTTGTCCTTAAGAGATCATAATCTCGCACTTCATTTGTTGTTAATAAAGTTGAATTGAAGATTTTTAGGCATATTTCTTTCTTTTAAAATCGCTCCTAAGTGGTAAAAATTCACATAATTTTGAATTATCTTTCATATTCCTTTCGGTGATATCGATGCTTCTAACCAATCATATGTTTCATGAGATGTATTATAGTCAAGAAAAATACTGGAATCATTATAATAAAGGGGAAAGAAAAATGGATAAAAGTTGTTTTTCGTTTATATTACATTGATGGATTGAGAAGAGAAAATCACAAAAGAAAAAAGGAATTTTATTTTTTTTATTTATAGAAGGAGAAATATTTCCATGAAAAGTTCTTCTACAAGGTCATACAATCCGCCTTATGAAATTTTATACATAATTCATATAAGGTCTTTAATTTGATGATAAAAACTGATCCGTTTCTTTCTTATATTTGATTAATACTTTTGATTTTTTATGTTTGATTAATACGTTCATGATTTCTTTTTTTCTATATGCACATTTAAGTTCAAATTCATATATTTATTTACAAAAGTTATAGAAAAAAGCTCTCATCTATATTTTAAATCATTTTGTCTTTTTACTACTTTTCGGAAAATTCTTTTCATCCTTAATTGAGAAAAAATTAAATAATATGTATGGAAAATTTATTGAAGTTTAAATATATCCTTTGCCAGTGATGATTGTGATGTGATAGTTAAGTTTTTGTTGCAGAAAAAAGAATCGATCAATTCAGAAGTAGGGACACTACCGAACAGTTTGCATGAGCAAATGTCGATGTCTAATGTAAATTCACTATCCGGACGAGTAGGTTTTTTACATTGATTTTTTTTTGATTTTCTAAATTTTTAAAATTGATTGGTAGTTCATTAGATCTTTTGGAATGCAATTGCCGAACTTTACTTTTTTGATATTGAAATTCAGATTGTTCAATTTCATCTTAATACTTAAAAGTTTTCTGGTGCAACTTAAATGATTATTAATTAAAATATGTGTCATTAACAGAAATTTCAAATTTGGTTTGGCAAAGGAACATATGCTGTTGTATAAATGTGTTCAACAAAGTGGTGGGAAGTGATTTGTATATAGTTTCATATAGTTGATTTTGTTCATTTTTGAACCTTTGAATTAAACGGTAATTGGAAAGGAAATTTTCTAGTTTCACAAATTTTAGGAACAACATCCAGAGATTGTAATGATCAGTATTAATCGTGGTACTGGTGGAATCGGGTTAAGTATTGTAGCTGCTCAGGTACACTTTATATTGTATTACGCTTTCAAAATTCTTTCTCTTATAATTAACAATTTAATAAGATCATAAATATTTTTTCGTTTTCCTGCATCGTGCGAATGGTGTCTCTTTTTTTAATTCCAGATGAATGAAAGATGTCATAAAATTTTATTATCAAATAACAAATCTCACTAAAATTTTTCTATCATTTCTCTGTTCTCAGCCCTCTTGTTAAGAGTGCTATATTTAGATATATATTTTTTGAGTGGCTGATGATGTTATAGACATGGACAATAAAAAACTAAAACCAAAATTTAGTATTAATAAATCAACTTTTTGCGACTTTAGAGATTTAAAACATTTGAATTGGAGTAGGGAAGACAAAAAGGAGAAACAATTATATTTTAATTAATTATTCCCTATATTATTTTTTCTGCTCATCTTTTCCCGAGAAATAAAATCTATTTTTTCTTCTATTACTTTTTTCAGTCCCTCTTTCCTTTTTCTTAAATTTCGTCAGTTTAAAATGTTAATTAGAGTGGTATGGATAATAAAGCAATGGAGAGTAGGAAGAAAGGAAATGGGTATATGTGTGCATATCATGTAACGATATCTAAAATTATATCGGCGATAGAAAGTTTTCCTTATCATTACCAATCTACAACATATCAAGGATGAAAATAGTAGGCGTTGTATCTGTACTACTGCCATTAATGATCTGTCAACTTTTCATTATAGAAAAGATTTCTATAGCAAAGTCGTAATTGCTAAACTGATAGTTAATACTCTGACGATATCTTATACAACCTATTTTATACAGCAAAATTGCTTGCTTCACTGTAAACATTTATACCTTGGTATAATCCGAATACTTATTATTATTTTCCTTTCTAAGAATTATCTGTGGTCATTTGACTTTATTACCTTGCATATATCGTCTATTTTTCATACTTTATTCATTTTGCTTCCTGCATAATTCTGTTTTGCAGTACTGCCTAATCTTCTATATCTTTTTCTTTACTTGCATAAATATTTGAAAATTTACATAATCGAAGAGAAAGATTTGAAAAAGTTAGAAAATAAAGTAAAAGGAAACCTGTCATTTTATCTGCTTTCCATCA